CCATGTCTGATGAAAGGAATCCCAAGACTGATGATGAGTTTTCAAGATAACAATTAGGCAAACACTCCAGGCTGGGGTAGGAGACAACAGAAAAGAGTTCTTTAAGAAAGTAAACTGATAGAATACCTAATGTGTCTGTAAGTTCTGAGAAAAGATCTACACAACCACGAGTATTCAGGGTTTCATTAGTAATAATTAAAAACTAAGGAAATAAAAATCAAGACAACTCTAGAGAAAATGATGCTGAGCAAGAAATAAAAAGTAATCATAATGTACTAAATGTTTCGATTGGTGTCATAATAAACACAATGAATCTCGATATAAACAAAAATATGATACAAACATATTGAAAAGATGAAAGATGGGATGGATAAAAAGTTTATGTGCACGTGACAAAGGATGAAAGAGATAAAACTTTACTTTTGCCACAGAGAAGTTAATGGACAATGCCTAAAACTGAAAAAGTACCAATACATTTGCACTGTTTAGAGGTACAAAAAGACCAAAAGAATTGGGTAAGAAAAGTGATACAAGCTTACTTTGGGAGGAAGGGGTAAGATTTGGGTGGTGAGACCTCTGATTTTCACTGCATGTCTTGTATAAATATTTAATTCTTAAATCTATGTATATGATATAAAACTTAATTACTATTATATTTTAAAAGTAAATGGAAGCTTTAGAGCAACTATGTCGAACAGAACTATAATGCAAGCCACACATGTAATTTTTAATTTTCTAATAACCATATTAAAAAGGTAAAGAAAAACAGGTGAAATTAATTTCAATGATAGTATCTTATTTATCCAAATATATCAAAAATATTATTTCAATATGCAGCTAATATAAAAACTTTCAGTGAAATATTTAGTTTTATTTTGGTATGAAGTCTTCAAAACTCGATATGTGTTTTACACTCAAAAGATATTTCACTTCCAACTAACCCTACTGCAAGTGCTCAATATCCACATGTAACTAGTGGCTACTCTTATTAGACATAGCAATTCTTTTCCTGTGATCTCATAAAAACTTATGATAGGAGAATTACAGTGATATGAGACTATTTTAGCAGCACTCTACACTATGAAGTGTCACAGAAGCTGTGTTCTAGCTTCCATTTAGTAATAATATAGCAATACTTTCCAGCCTGAAAAATAGGCCACTAGTCGGCCTTATCATGCAACAACTTCATGGTAGTCAACAAAATATATTCAGTACTCAATTAGAAAATACCATATACAACTGACCATACAAAAACCCACCTTTCTGTTCTGCCCCACCACCACTATCAAAATTAACAATCTCTTTTCCTGGAATGCTATCCTGTTGTGTCATAAGATTGCCACATTTTTCCAAAGAAATCACAGGACAGGTATTTTGTATTCCATCTTCTTCAGGATACAAGGAGACTCAGAGTAAGACAGCAGAGGTTAAATAGGCTTCTGAGAGTTGACTGGGAACTTCACCAGCCATCATTAAGTTTGTCCAAGTGACTTGAACAGGATCTTGAACAACACTGTGACTTGGCACCCACTTTTGTCCAAAATACTATAAGACCCCACTATCCCCACACATCATTTAGAGCACTTAACATATGCTGGACAGTACGCTAGGTGTTTATCTCAATCCTTAAAAACAATTCTTGAAGTAGTATTACCATTAGTACTACTTTGCAGAGAAGAAAATTGAGGTTTGAAAGCATTAATTGCCACAGATCACCTGTTTTTTGAAAGACCCTGGAGTTAAGAATTACTTTTACATTTTTTAAAGGTTATAAAAACAAAGAATAATGTGCAACAGAGATCATATATGGCCCCCAAAAGCCTAAAATATTTACTATCTGGCACTTAACAAAAGAAGTTTACTGACCGTGCACTAGATTATGGAATTAAATAGTCTGATTCCAAAACAAATTCTCTAAATCAGGGTTTCTCAATCTTGGCATGGTTGACATTTTGGGTTGGATAATTAATTCTTTGTCAGTGGCATCCCTGAGCTCTGTCCACTGGATGCCCATAGCAGCACCCCTACCCCACCCCAGCTGTGACAACCAAAAATGTCTCCAGACATTGCCAAATGTACCTTGGGCGGCAAAATCGTCCCCGACTGAGAATCACCACTCTAAATGGTCTTCAAACTGGGGGATGTGTGTCCCCTAGGACAAATAAAGTATTCCATGGGACATACACTAAGGCTTCCAGATCCTTTACTTCCATTAGTATTCCTCACTAAACTAATCTGCCTGAGAATATGCCCACTGTCCAGTTATCATACTGGTTTTTCTTCCCTGAGATCCTTTCACAATCTTTCCACTTTACAAAATAAAGACATATTTCTCACCCACTCCCATTCTTACTATGATACACTGCCCCAGTATGGAAAAGCCTCCCTACCAACAAAAAATAAGTCAAAGGGCGCAAAGACCCTCCTTTAATTTAGGCACAACTCCCACTATCTATTCCATGAAGACACAGATTTCCAGTAGACTTCTACTCTTAATTATTATTCATTAAAATTCATCAGGTATTTATGCTATTCTGATCAACTATTACTATTTATAATAATTCAATCCAAAAGAAAATTACAACATATAAGAAAATTTTTAAACTTAGTTCAATTTATAAAAGTTCAAAATACAAAGACATGTATGACAGAAATTAATAAAAAGCTTTCAAGCATAAAAATACATTACCTTAAGATAATATTCTGTGGGATGGGGGTGATAAAAAAGCAAAAAAAGGAAGTTGTAAAATATAATGTATTTTAAAAATTGATGGTGATATATCTAAAACTACAAAGATATGATACTCCACCGAATACAGTTAAAAGAATGATGTACCAATATTATATTAAAATGTCAATATCAATACCATGCGGGAAATCGCATCCTTTTCAACTAAAGCATGATGTAAAACGCTGTAAGTTAACCAAAAGTATGCAAGAGGGACAGTTTTACAAAAATTATTTGGGGGTTCACAAGCAAATTAAAAGTACTGCTTTAAAAACCACTCATACTATAATACATGGCAAAGATATAATGGACATGGTCTGTCTCTGGCTCTTGGTAGCACCAAAATTTACTATCTTTTGTTAAGCTCTCTCTATGTGTGTCTGGAATCCTTCTAAGGTTATCGAATCTTCACTCTTGGAGGCTATTTGATTTTAAAAATGTTTTATAAGTATGAGCAGTTTGCCTAAGACAAAGCTAGTAAATAATAAACCCAAATCAGTTCATGGATCAGAAAATTATGTCAAGAAAATTAAAGGAGCTCTCGCCTGTAATCCCAGCTACTGCAGAAGCTGAGGCCAGAGGATAGCTTGGGCCCAGAAGTTCAAGGTTGCAGTGAGCTATGATTGTACTACTGCACTCCAGCCAGCCTGGGTGACAGAGCAAGACCTTGTCTCTTTAAGAAAAGANAAAAAAAAAAAAAAAAAAAGAAAGAAAAGAAAAATGAAAATTAGATAAGCTGTATTTGATTCCAAAGCTAAAACTCCTACTATGTTTACAAGTCAGCAGAGTGAGGGAGGGTTAAGGAAAACCCAGAGTGACCCATGGTAGATAGCCATGTGGCTTAAGTCTTCAATAGGTAGCTTTTGAAAGTAGAAGCAAGACATAATGAAGGAATACAGCTAGAAGCAATATTTACTTTGGGTATAACTTTATTTCTAAGCTTATTTTACATACAGTGTGATGAAAGATTTCTTAAACAATGTGTCAATGGAGGAAACAAGATGGCTACTGAGAAAGGAGAGTGTGCCTGTGTGTAGGGTGGAGTGGGAGGGCTAATTCCACAGGGTTGCTTAATAACCTTCCTTGCTTCATCTCCATCTTGAAGAGAGAAAAAGGTTACACAGGGAGAACAGCCTGGATATCTAGAGGTTACATGCAAGTCTAATGGTCAATTTCAGTCTAATCTCTGGGGAATTTCGACACAAAAAGAAAAAGGTTTATATTAAAACAACACATTTTTTATTTTGTGACTGGGATTTGCTACTTCTTCCTTACCAGTCTCACAAAATACATTTTACAGAAATAAGGATTGTAGGATGGTGACTTAAAAAAAAAAAAAAAAAAAAAGTCTATTCTATTCCTTAGCACAATTAAGCGTCAAGTGTCCAGAAAAGATAAAAACTTATCACATGATTTCAATGAGAAGAGAAAGTCTTTGAAATGACAATCTGAAGTATTAAGCAGTACCTACAACAGTGTAACAGTCTTCGAGAACAAACCAAAATCAGTTTCTGGATACCAGTAGTTCACCTAAATTCTAATTTTTTAACGTTCTATTAAAAGAAACAAAACGCATTTATTTCAACATAACTATATGTATGTGTGTGTCTTAAAAAAAATACCCAAGAGCAAAGGTAAAATTCTCAATCAAAATACCTAGCAATTTAGTTGAATTCCATAAACACTGAAAGTAGTAACACTCTCACTTCACTTTCGCTTAACAGTCAACATTACAAGTAGTTTTTAAGAATATCGCATTTATCTCCCTAGAGATAGCAGAAGTTTACTTAATGCCTATTTGGCCCTTTACCAAAAAAGCTGAGGGGGCTTTGTCTATTGCCTGTATGCACTCTCTCCGTAGCATCCCACTCATTCTAGCCTGTTAGGGAAACCACACACAACGTTTCAGAGAGTGCCACAGGGGAAGCCGACCCGAAACCACATTACAGAAAGGCTTCCCGTTGCAAACAGGTCCAATAAACCCATCAAATTAAGTCTACGATTATAAAGAACCGCGAATCAGAAAACAGTTCCATATGCAACTGGGCACAGTCTTCTATTACTTTTTCCCCACTTTCGGAAATTTCAAAGAAAAACTGCTACATGCTTAAATATCTGAGGCCATTGTATCAAACGCCATAACAACCTGGAACGCAAAGTGGTTAAATTATAATACAAAAAAGCCAATCTCGAGGATCCTCAGTGGATTACTAGAGTACTTCTTTTACAATTAGCGGAAAACTGGGTCAGCCCTCTACAGTCACGCAATAATATGCCGCGTCACGAACCTGCGCGTTCCGAAACTTTTCTCAGGCCCACAATCAAGTCGGAGGGATCCTCCGCGCAGCTCAATCTCTAGGAAGCATGAAAGGATGTTCTGTAAAGAGTCAAATCATGCGCAACCCATCCCAATATAACTGCAGTTGTTCGTGGGTCTCCTTGCAGAGAAAGGCCACCGAACCTGGACACTGCAGTGGGCGCTGCGGGAGGGCGAAAGACCTGGAAGATCTGCGAACCCAAAGTAAACAACGAGGGTGGGGCCGGGAGAAGGATGAATAGCGATGCTCCGAAAGGACCCCGCGACGCAAAGCGGGCGGGAAGGACTCCCTCCAACCTAAAAGTCCAAGGAGGAGAGGCCGAAGGTTCCCTAAACACGACACTGGGGCGGGGGAGGGGACGCAGAACAACTTCTCAAACTATTCTCTCACGAAATCGCTCCCTTCCTGAGACTCCGATGAGGCCCCAGCCACCTCCGCCCTCGTCCCGCGACCCTCGCCGGCTCGGCCTCCCCGCGGGGTCCGCGGGGCCTGGGGCGCTCACGCCGCCCACCCAGGGGACCGCGCAGGGGTGAAGTCCCCGCCGCCCCGCCTGCGCCTTCCAGACCTCGGGCGCCCGGGCGTCGCCTCGGGAGCTCCCCGCGCGGCCGCCACAGCCCGGGCCAGCTCCAGCTCCCCCACACGCGTAGCCGCTAGGCTCGCCGAAGGCCGGTCCCGAGGTTTCCTAGGCCTCGCGCGCGCGCTCTCCGGGACCACCGAGACGTTCCAGGCCGCGCGCTCTCGAGCGCTCCCCGTCACGCGACTGCGCCGCCCCGCCCGTCGGCCTCGCTCCCGCCACGGGGCTCGGAGCGCGCCGCCGCCGCAGCCTCGGTCACGCCGCAGATGCCCACGCGCGCATCTTAGCAGCCGACTCGTCACCAGCCTGCTCAGACTAGGTTCTGCCCACTCTGACCTTCTAAATGGTACGTGGGAGGACGTCCGTCCTCTTGGAACAGTCACCGTAACACTCTAGAGGGGGAGAAAAGGAGCGTGGGCGGCAGGCGAGAGAGAACCTCGCGAGTCAGCGGCTCCGCGCAGACCCCCAGTCACGCTCCCCTGAGGCCACGTCGGCCGTTCTGCGCCTGCGCAATATCTTTCTCCCCTGCGTAACCGAGGCCTCGGGAGAGACTAGAAGCTAGTGTGGGCAGTGAGCGCTTGTAGCCGCAAGAGGGAGCGCTGGGCACAGTGCGCGAGGGACGACGAAGGCTGACTGTCCCCTCAATGTCTCTGCAGCCTGAGCTTTGGGACTTCTGTATCCCGAGCATAATTTCCAAAAGCCCGCCTGCACCATGAGTTTTAAGTGTCGGGGACTGTGTGTGTTAAAAGTTTATATCACTATCATAAAAATGTTAATTCCTCACTCCAGGATACAAAAGTAATTGTGCCAATACCATTTAGGATTATGGAAGGCTGAAAGAGAAAAATCAAGATGAACATACTTTACCTCTCTTGACAAGTGTTTTTAAATTAGTAAAATATTGTAGATGAAAGACTTGTAACTCCTCAATAGGCCTGCCTTAGGGGGGAAAAAAAAGGAAAAGAAAAGAAAAAGCAGTGTGTACTTGCCCTGAGCATTTAGGACCAGTTTTGTTGTTGTGTTTTGTTTTGTGACGGAGTCTTACTCTATTGCCCAGGCTGCAGTGCAGTGGCATAATCTCGGCTCACTGCAACCTCTGCCTTCCAGGTTCAAGTGATTCTCATGCCTCAGCTTCCAGAGAAGCTGGAATTACAGGCGTGCACCACCACTCCCATCTAATTTTTATATTTTTAGTAGAGTCGGGGTTTCCCCATGTTGGCCAGGCTGGCCTCGAACTCCTGACCTCAAGTGATCCGCCTGCTTTGGTTTCACAAAGTGCCAGGATTACAGGCATGAGCCACCCAGCTTGGCCATAAGACCAGTTAAGTGACTTTCCTAAGGATTTCAGTGAGTTATTCCAGATGAATTAATCAGATTAATTCAATCAAGATTAATTAGTGATAGGGACTATTGGACGGGAAGAGGGTTTTAAATTTAAAACGGGGAGCCATTTGCTACTTCCCTCAAATCTAAAAAAGATAGCAGTAAGTCATCCCAAAAGGCAAAACCTTTATTAATATATTAATTTATTAATACAATGGTTTCAAAATGATTTTGCTTTTATACCACCAAAGGAATCCCAAAAGACTGTGACTGTGTTCTTCCTTCCACGTTTTGGGGTTGAGCATCAAAATTTCTCATCTGACTTAAATAGTTGCAAAAGAGGCAACATCTGTTTTATTGTAAATTAACATTTTTAAATAAAAGATATAACTTTTAAATGTAGCGAGTGGAATCTAAATACCAATTTAATATATAATGTCATCCATTTTTAAAACTACGTGAACAAGCTTTTAACAGAAGGAAATTTTACATCATTTCTTTTCTTCTTGAACTCATATTTTCATTCCATATTGTGAAATTGTATCCCAATGTCATATTTCTTTAGTCTTGCAAATATTGGCCAGGCTTGGTGGCTCGTGCCTGTAGTCCCAGCTACTCCAGAGGCCAAGGTAGGAGGATTCCTTGAGCCCAGGAGTTTGAGACCAACCTGGGCAACATAACCAAACCCGTCTCTACAAAAAAAAAAAAAAAAAAAGCCCAGCATGGTGGTGTGCACCTGTAATCCCATTATTCCAGAGTTGCAGGTGGGAAGATCACCTGTGCTGGGGACAGTGACTGAGATTGTGCCACTACACCCCTTTTTGGGCAACAGAGCCAGATCCCGTCCCTCCCCACCCTCACCAAAAAAAAAAAAAGAAAATCTTTTATTAGCCATCTACTCTACTTCTTTACATTTAAAAAGTATATACATTTAAATACAATTTAAAAAATTTCCAACAGCCATAAAGATGAATGTATTTAAAACTTGTAAACTTTCTATACAAAAAAATTGTTATGTATACAAAACCCTGAAGAGTTTACTACAATACTGTTAGAACTAATACATGAGTTCGTCAAGAATTCAGGACAACAGATCTACGTACAGAAATCAATAGTATTTCTATATACTAGCAATGAACATTTCAAAAATGAAATTCCATTCATAATATCAAGAAGAATAAAATACTTAGAAATAAATTTAATAAGTACAAGACTTATATGCTGAAGATGATACAGCATTGCTGAAAGAACTTAAAGACCTAAATAAATGGAAAGACAAACCATGTTAAAGGGTTGAAAGACTTAATATTGTGAAGATGGCAGCACTCCTTGAATGGACCTACAGATGCAAAACAATCAGGTCAAAATCCTAAATGACTTTTTTCCAGAATTTGGCAAGCCGATCCTAAAATTCATACAATCCAGGGAAATATAAGTGCCCAGAATAGCCGCACGCACGCACACACACAGGTCTTGAAAAAGAATAATAAAGTTGGAGGACTGACAACATTCCACTTTCAAAACTTATTACAAAACTGTGGTAATCAAGTCAATGTGGTTGATTTTTGTTTTATGAGATATATTTGTGCTCACAGTAGCTTCCATGTATGGTTAAGTTACTACTGGCCATAGTGGTCTAGTGCTGATGTCTAGGAATGTTTGTACTACTGACTGCAGAATTACCTAGCACCCTAATAGAAAGACACTGGTCAGGTGTTGTATTGCTTTCTGTTTGTGTCCTGCAGTGCCCAGTACCAGAAGGATGCGGGAGGGGAAGAAACAAGGTGTAAAGTGGATGGGGCTGGAAGCTAATCTGTGGAAAAGTACCAGCAAAGGATTTGGTTTGCTCATCAGTACCTGGGCAAAACCTATATTCGTGGTCCTTCCAAATTTGGTAACAATTGTGAAAATTTGCAATACTCTTAATACTGAATTATGAAGCTGAACTCAGTTTTCCTGAATTATACTAAAAAGCTAATCTTGATGGACCATGCTAGAGGAAAAACTGAATTATCTGTTCTCTCTGTGGAATATATTGCAAAATCGTTTTCATATGAAGAAGCAATCAGAGTATGGAGCCAAGAAAGGGTAGGGATAAGTATTATGGGATGTGCTGAGCACCTGAATGATAGAATTATGTTGTTTTTCTGGATTTTGTGGTATCTGTAGTAGTCATCAGCTTTTTAAAACTCATAATTTTTTTATTCACTTTTGTTTCCTCCAGAAGGCTATCCAAAATGTAAAAGCTGCAACCATCACAAAACTTGGATCTGCTTAGGCCCAAGGGGTGCTTGAGATCAGCAGAAAATAATTGCTTATATTTGAAAACATGTAAAAACCATTTTTAACATTTAGTATATCTTACTGAGGTAAAACAAGGCTTTAATTATCAAATCAGACCGACAAGAATCAGAGGTTTTATCCCATCACAAGAAATTAATGGCAGTATCCAAAACCACTAACCCAGCTCCCCAGGTCTTCCCCAAATTCGTTAGGACACACTCTGGCTTATATGTAGCAGGTGAGGTCTCTGAGTAAGCTATGGCAGTGATCACTTAAACAGATGGAGCTCTTTCAGTCAGGATCTATCTCTATTTTGTACTGAAATGATTGTAGGGTGGACACTGACAGTTTCCACTGGGCCATTCCATGTGTTAATATATCCATCAATTCCAGGTTTATTTACCTTACGCCATCTAGACAGAGCAGGTGTACCCTACTAAAAAGCATTTCATAGGCAAGGACTCCCCATTCTCTTTTTACCAGAATATACCTTGCTTGTTTACGAGGCGATTTGACTTGGTCATTTCCACCTGGCCATCTCGGGCTAGGAATAATTAGCTATAGACCAGCCTCTATCACTTAACTTCTGACTTATCTCCCCTGTCTTTTTTCTCACCAGATTCTTCAAAAAATAATAATAATAGTTCTCTAAAAATACCAAATAATTGTGGCTAAGATTTTTAAAGGAAAGTTACCATCGTACCATTATTGAAGAGAACAATATTTTGAAATTTTGGCATTCTTGGGGCTTTTACCCCTGGGCAGTGCACCAGAATAAGATGTAGGAAGCTGAGGGCTGTGTATTTCTTGTGTAGAGTAGGAGAAGTTTTAATGTGAAAGGAGGAGTAGGAAAAGACACACTAGGAAATAGCACATAAGAAATTAAGATCTGGATATTGATTATCTTATATCCCTGTAAATTTTCTGCATACCTCCAGTGGTATGCATACCGCTGTCAGATATTTTTATATCACATACTTGTAGTGGAGGGTCTGGGACCACTAGTCTAAAATCCAAGAGCCTGAGTTTGAATCCACCTTCATTCACAGTTGTTACCACTTAATCCCTCTGAGCCTGTTTTCTCATCTGTGATATGGGGGTGTGATAACAGAATCTGCCTCATAGGGTGGTTACCTAAATTAACTGAAGTAACTCATTTAAAGTTCACACTCAAGCCAGGTGCAGCAGCTCACACCTGTAATCCCAGCACTTTGGGAGGCTGAGGCAGGAGGATCACTTGAAACCAGGAGTTCAAGACCAGCCTGGGCAGCAAAGCAAGACCTCATCTCTAATTTTGAAAAAAAAAAAAAAAAAAAGTTTGAACTCAATAAATATTGGTAGTAATATATGAATTTCTTCTCTTCTTGCTGACATTCTTTAATGATTAGCAAAGAGCAATTTGGTTCTAAGCAAATCTGAATTTTTTTTAAAGTTTGTCTTCCTTAAGATTGATGAAGTTATTTTCTATTGGCAAAGAATTTACTTCACTGTACCAAAAATGGTAAATATGAATACTATTGTAACCCTGTCACAGTGCCATTAATAAAACAGTAATATTATACATAGCATTATTTTAATAACATAAATGTTCTCTGGAGAAAAATCTAATTGTTAACAGACTTTGGGAATGATATAGGCCTATTTGGGTTTTAGGCATGCAATATCCATTATACTTACAAATCCTGAGCGATTATGCCAAAGACTTTTATGTAGAAGCCTGTAGTTTAGTTAGATGAATGT